CTGGGCCCAGGAAGGCATGGCACGCCACGGGCCCGGAGAGCTGCTGGGAGAGGCACTATTTTCGAAGAGCTTCACACCGGCTCTAGTAATTCAGGCTCCCCAGGTGTTGGAAGAGATTTCCCTGAAGGGTCTTCTTAGCCCTAGAAACCTCCCTCAGGGCTTCAGCCAGGACAACCACTTAAGTCTGGAGGGGAATAACCATGGTGAGCGGGCAGGGACGCAGGCTCCCTGGGCTGGGGCTGCCCCTGGCGAGGCGGGCTCAAGCTGTCTTGTTTGTGAAAACTTGTCCCGGGCTGCCTCCCTGGGGAGCCCCAGCTCCTCACAGACACAGCGCCTCCCTGGCTGGTGCAATCATCCCCAGGGGCATGCTGCGGGGCCCAGGGCGCCCACAGAGGCCACCAGCGCAGGGCCACCCAGCACGCTGCAGACACACCAAAGGGCACTGTTAGCAAAGCATTTGGGGGTTTAGGGGTGAAAGCGGAGTGCGGGCCTGATTCCTAGGGCTTACCCTGGGTGGGACAGGAGGCTGCTCCCAAAGAACCCCACATCCTGCCATCACGACCTCCAAGCCCATCCCTTGCTGTCCCAGATGAGACACACAGACCCCAAAGAGATCGGCGGACAGGGTTAAAAGACAGCTCTGACCTCGGCTCCCCACACCAGATCCCTCTGACTTTCTTGTGCCAAGAAGTGATGGTTTTTAGGAGTCCTATAATCATTTTAGGAATAGCACAGTAATACTACCTTGTACATGTTATAGTGTTTGTGTAAATAATTAATATATACCAGGTATTCTGGAACCATGTTTGGGCAAGTCTTTTTTTTACTGTTCCAAGAGCCTCCACTTAGTATCCCAGTGCAAGCTGCCCAGACCTCTCTCCACCTTGGAGAAGCCCTATGGCTTCGCTCTCCTCCCCTCTCCCTGCAGGCACACTTGGCTGTGAAGCTCTGGGAGGCCTGCCTGGGTGCTCGGGTCTGACGGGTGTTAGTGGTGCATGGCTTGGGGGGACGCTTCTGTTATTACCATTGGGGGTAGGAGGACAGCGGAGGGAAGACAGGGCAGGGCCTTCCTGTCAATAATTTTCAAAGGCCTCGGGGCCCCCACGGATGGGGAACAAGGCTCACTCCCTGCAAGAGGCTTTGAGAACCCCCCGCGTCACCAGGGCCATCTGGAGGCAGGCAAATGCCCAGAAGTCTGGGCAGATTCCCACACCTGCAGATATATATCTTTTTACATCTTTTCTGTCTTGCAGATTCACCCAAGAGACATAAGCTCTTATAAAATTTTCAAACACTCTGGAAATTAACTTAGTTAAAGCAAATGCCTTTTAATTTTTACCTCATCCCCTCTGTAGAGAGAACCACCATTTTCTATTCGCTATAACATGTGCTATCTTTCAAATATCTTCCAGCATATGCGCTTCGTGAATAATGAAAATGGGTTCATACAGTAATAGTGTCCTGCTACCATTCAAAAAAATCTTAATAGTACATCTTGGACATTTTCCCACGTCAATGGAAAAGCTCCACCTCACTCTGCTTGGTTGCATAATATTCCCCTGTAGAGATTGGTATAATTCATTTTTCTCCTCCCTGGTGAAGCACATTTCCCTTCAAATTTTCAGTATTCCCAAGAATTTGGTAATAGATGCCTTTGTTCATCTAACTTTTTGCACATGTAAGGGTATATCTATGTCAGAGAGATTCTGAGGGTGAGTGGCATTCCCTGTTTGGATCCAGGTGTCTGCTAGTCTCTGGGAGAGAACCCATCTTGTCCCTGTGATTTCAGTGGCTTCTCCAGGCTAAGGTGTTTTTCCCTTTTGAGCCACACCTTGGCTCTCCATGGAAATTCCTACTGGTCATCAGTGGAACAGGAACCTGGTGGCCCGTCTGATCAGAACCACATGGACAGGCGAGTGTGGGCTCCGAGCTGGGCATCCCGTAGCTGCTTGGATCTTGCAGAGTGAGGACATTCCTGACAAAGAAGTGACCAGGCTACACTGGACAGGGACTCAGACATGGAGGGCCATGTAAGGGTCACTCTGAGCATGGAGGTGGTATGTGGGTCAGAGCGTGGGCTTGGCTACTGTCTTCTCTACCTCTGCCTTTGAGAGATGACATCTGAACCCTCCCAGATGCTTCACACTGAGGGAGCATCCAGGGATGGAACAGGGCACTAGGAGATAGGATTCCTGGGTGCGCCGCCCCCCCACTTTGCCATGTGATCTTGTGAAAAGAACTTTGCCTCTTTGAGTCCCAGTTTCTCTCTCTCCAAACACCCACTCCTTCCTTTTTCCACAAGACTGATGAGGATTTTGAAAAGAATCTAACTCTTAGGGCAAAGTCACCGGAATGATGCTTCCTCCTGGTTAGGAACGGGCTGAGTTAGGGTCAGAGCCCCCCGCCCCATCTCCACTCACTTTGGCATCCAGCTTCTCCTAGGGCTGCCTTGTCTTTGTTTCCTAGAGGGTACAGGAGGAGTGGGGCAGTGGCTCCCTCCCCCAGGGGCTGTGCCTAACTGGGCTCCAGGGACCTGGAAGGCTGCAAAGGGGAGTCCTCCCAGAGCTCTTTAAGTTTGTAAGCGGCAGGGGGACTCCGTAGCAGGAAAAAAACCCCATGATGAACACGGAAGCCAGAGTTAGTAAGGGGGAGGCCCAGATAGGGCAGGGATTGCCTCAGGGGAGAGGGGTGAGCTCCCCAGCAGCCTTTGGGTGTGCGGGAGGGCTTGGGTAGGGAAGTTACAGAGCAAGGCAGTCCACGGCCTAATTCTGGATCCTTCAGTAGAACTCCAGTTTGGCTGTATCCTCATTTTCCTAAATCACCTCTGTGCCATCTCTGGCACTGTGAGCCCCTTTGTCTTCTTTCTCTGTTAGGTCTGGGGCTCCTCCTTGGGGCCTCCCTGAGGCAGTGGCCGGAGACGGCAATGGGGTGTCTGGTAGACAAGGAACCAAGAAGCAAGCACGGAGCTCCCCTTTCACATGGGAGCAGGAGGGAGCCAGAGGCTTTGCGGGTGTTTGTTGGACTCCCTCGTCTGGTGCTAACTTAGCTTTGCTCCAGCCAACAAAAGGACCCCTTTCTGAGATTAAAAGAATGGCTCATCACCTCCGAGGATGGGGTTGGTAGAGGCTCTTCTGTGGACAAGTGGGAGGGAAACTGGTACCTATCGTCATGGAAAAACCCCTCTTCCAACCCAAACGCACGTCCCCAAACCAGGGAATAAACACTGGCCAGGAACCAGCCCCACTACTACCTTGCTATATACAGCCTCAGAGAACTCGCCCCTCGTGCCTCTGTCCTCATCTGCACAAGGAGCACCTCGCCCAGCAGCCTCACAGGGACTCCAGAAGGTGCGATTGTGTTTGGAACAGTTCGAGGTCTCAGATAAATGTAAGGGTTTGCATGATTATTGAGAGTGCTATTGGTTGTCCCCACGAGGATGGGGGGAAGTAGAAACTATGGAGTCCTCTTTATTATAGCTGACTCATCTGGCAGGAGGCTGGTTATACCTTGGCCACTTGGTAACTTTCCTTCAATCGTGCAAGTCTCTGGTGCAGATAAACTGGCAGAAGCATCCTTAGGGAATGTACACGTCATCTGGAATACTAAGAGGCTGCACCTTACAGCCCTTTCCACCAAGGCACTTTTATGGGGATTGGAAGTACAACCCCTCTTTGTCCCCATTTTACAGATTTAACAATCTACCCACCTCTTTCAGTAATTCACAGGCAGATCACTGTCCCAACCTGGGTATTACCTGCCTGGTCCTCTGCCTAGCTCTCAACCCAGCTTTCTCAGGTGGCTCCAAGGGAACAAAACTTGACTCATTAACTTTACTGGGCGTTAACCCTTGCCTCTCCAAGCACTCTGGGCAGAGGGCCTCTGTTTAGCCACCTGCATGCCCTGCGGAAGTGAGGAAAGGAGGAGGGAAGAATTAAGTGAGCCACCCCTGATCCTCCCTCTGGTTCCCATCCCCCTCACTGTCACTCCCAGGATTAACACCCGACGCCACCACCCTGCCAGTGGTCTGAGATGCCTGAACATTTGGGATGCCCATCCCAGCCAGGACCTCAGAGAAGGGAATCGATCACTTAGTTTTTTTGGAGGGGTGTAGAAAACATCTCTAGCGATATCAGAAGCTCCTAAAGGGGGGCCTCCCTTTATGCCTGAGTCAGACCATCATAGACTCTTGGAATGCCAGCCCTGGGAGACACCTCCTAAGGTCATTCAGTCAGGCCCTCGATTTTTGGGTGAGTCAGTGTCTTGGTAGGCATTTAGGATTGTGCCTCCCTCCACCCAGAGATGTCACCCAAAGCACCCAGGACTATCACCATGAGGGAATATGTCAGGCTGGTCCCACAACCCGGCCCCCACCACACCCAATGCTGCTGTGTAGGGGACCCATTTGCCCAGGGAGGATGGGAAATGGGCAAAGGAAGCCCAAGGGATGTTCAGGGCCCCTAGGTCACTCTCCACTCTCGCTCCCAGCCAATTCGTCTGGGGAGGCCCAGGCTTTCCCTTCAGTATCCCCCAGCTCGCCCCAACCTCCAGGACAGTGGGGGCGGGGGGGCGGACTAAGCTGGTATTAAACAAAAGGAGAAGCCCAAGAAAGAAGCGAGTGGGCTTTTGAGACCTGTGGCTGCAGCAGCTGAAGGCAGGCCATTACCTTGAAGAGAAAGGCAGGAAAGATAAGATGGCAGGGGGAGTCATGGGGAGCCTTGCCTGCCCAGGCCTCCTCTCTGGGAAAGCTCCCACTTGCCCAGAATGAGGCTGCAAAAGCTGGTGGGCTCTCTGCCGTCTATGTCAGAGAAGAAAAGTTGCTGACAGTTGTCACCTGAGCAGCGCGGGTGTCTCCCAAACTCCAGACCCCGACCTCAGCAGGCTTTGGGGCCCAAACACCCCCTGGGGCAAACGTACGCCTGCCCGCATCAGCGCTGTCCCCTTCCCCTCCACCGCAGGTTCCCTGGGGGCGAACGGGCGCAGAAGTTGAGAGATCTACTGACCGTCTGCGTCAAAGTGCTTCCAGATTTCCAGGAACTGGGACGCCGTCAGCTCGGCCAGGTGCAGGTAAGGGGGCTGCTGCTGCGGGCTAGCCATGGCGAGCGGCTCGGAGACCTCAGGCGCACAGCGTTGTCCCTGCGCCCGGCTCCGCTCCCGCACTCGGCCAGGTCCTGCGCGCCACGCTGCCTTTATATACGGTCCGGAGGCTGCGTCCGCGCCCGGCCGCCGGCAGGGGGCGCGCGCGCTCAGAGAATCGGCCCGGGTGTCGGCGGGGCGGCGGCGGAGGCGCGGCGGTTCGGCCAGGGGCGCGGGGTGGGGACGGGGCGGGGGGCATAGAGACCGCTTGGCGCGCGGGCAGGGAAGCAGAGGCCCCCCGCTGCGGAGGCGGGGGAGAGGTTGCTCTTGCCTCTCTCTGACCTTGAGTGCAGCCACCCCGTATTGTTACTAGCGGGAGCAGTAGTAATAACAGTAGTAACAGCAACGCCACGAATAGTAATAATAATACAAGCCTGGCAAGTAATTAGCACCTGCACTTCGCGGTTCCCTAGGTCTCTCAGGCCTCCTCTCGTCCGACCCTTCCACAGCAGGAAGAACAGGGACCACTTTTCTGAGGAGGGGACTTGAGACTAAAAAATGACATGACTTGCCCAGCAAAGAGGGGCCGAGCTAGAATTTGAACCCAGCGCTTTCCCATGCTCTCCTGGGCCCTCAGTGCAGCTCATACTTGGGGAGAAGCCAAGAGTTCTCAAGGCTTTGTTGGGGGGGGGTGCGGCTGGAATCAGAGACACCCAGGGAGGATCCAGATGGAGGGGAGGAGGGACTTCCACGGTCCCCTTGGGTCTTGGTTTTGCCCTCCCCTGACTGACTATGTCCCTCTGTGGTCTGGTTCCCTGCCTCACCCTGGACAGGCTCTGGGGGCTTTGAGACCGTTGTTCAAGGAGTATCTGAACTACCTCCGCTATGGAGGCTTAACTGCACTCACCTAAGGACATCATGGGAATCTGCCTCCGCCAGTAGGCAGAGAACATTCACTGCTGACCTAGGAATGTTCCGTGCTGGTCTCAGAGAAAAGAGAAGTAGCTGCTGAGGGCACAGTCCTGAGGACAGCAGACCGGGACACCCCAAGCTGGGCACTGGGCTCCCTCCCCATTCTCTCCAGGAGCCTGAGCCCTGGAGCCTCCAGGCCCCGTGCACCCATTATGCCTAGAGCAGCCCTCCTTTCTCCCCTCTCCTGCTGAGCGACTGAGAAATGAATTGATGCTCATTAACACGTGCTAATGAGTGTTAGCTGAACTGCCTTCCGAGGGTAGAGCGAAAGGAAAGGAGGTAAGTGAGAATCAAAAAGAAGGTCGCTGGGGCAGAGGAGTCGGCAGGAGACAGAGGGGGGAGGTTGTCCCTTGGAGGGAGGGACGAGCCTAGAGCCGGACTCAAAGGGGCAGTACAGAGCGAAGGCTCCAAAACCACTTGATTTTGCTCAGAGCAGATGTGTTTAGAGTTTCTTGCAGGAACACACTAGAGGAGAAAAGGAGTTCTTCCCCTCCGTCTTATGCCAGAGGAGAGCCCCTGGCTGGGAAATTCACCAGAGCTGCTGGGGATTTCTCTTGCACTGCCTCTGGGGACGCAGAATGGCTCAGTGGTTAAGGGTAGACACCCTAGAATCAGGTTTGAATCCCAGAATAAGCTGTGTGACCTTGGGCAAATTACATAACCTATCTGTGTCTCAAATTTTCTCTTCTGCAAAATGGGAATGTGGGTATTTACCTCTTAGGATTGTTCTGAGGTTTAAATGAGTTGATGTTCCCACTGCCCTTCATGGAGCCAGAGATCAACAGTGATTAGCTTGGCAAGAGATTCCTTGGCCAGCATCCCTCTCCTGGGGTAGCGATGGCTCCCAAAGGGGCCAACCCCAGAGGGAGGCCAAGGGGAAGTCTGAACACAAGCTCTTCACCACAGTGCTGTGGAGCCCTGCAGGGGATAGGCTCAGCCCCTTCCAGCTCTGACACTGTCCTTTGGGCTCCTCTTCCTCCCCTCCTGCCTCTCCCCTGGCCCAGATCTGTGGGGCCAGCGAGCCCATCCCTGGTTAACTAAGGATCAAAGCCAATACCTCCTTGCTGCTTTGGTTTTCCTGGTGAGGAAGAGAGCAGAGCTCTTGCTTCCTACTTTCCAGAGCTGCTGAGATGGGGGTTGGGTGTGTGTGGGGGGATGTTGGCTTGCCTGGGGGAGGTCCTGGACATGATTGCAGTGTGGCCATAGTGACCTCCAACTCTGCCTTGGGACAGCCCTGCATCATTCGTTTTAGATGCATGATTGGAGTCTTTCTGGGAGGCCCATCCCTGGGCCCATCTCAGATACAGAGGGCTGCAAAGCCCAAGCAAGTCCCTTTGTCCTTCGTCCCCAAGCCAAGCACTGCAGAAGCAGTCATGTTGAGGAGTTACAAGCTCTGCTCAGGGGTCAGAAAGCTGCGGGTTCAAAACCCACTTAATAGTTGTGAGGCCATGAGCAAGCTCTTTGACCCTTAGGAAAAAATAGAGGTAATAAAAGTGATATTGGTCACACATAGTCAGTGTAAGGAACAAAAGTAATGTAGTCAAGGAGTTAGCTAGCAAGAATCCTGGCAGTGGTATGTGCTTAACTAAAACGTGGTTATTATATGAACACAGGATGTTAGGAGGAATTTTTCTTGTTGTTCTGAAAAGGGACCAAGTACGCACTTGCCAGGCACCTCCTGTCTGAGGGACTCACGATGCCTGTCCTTCTCTTTAACCAAGGCCATGGGCTGTGCAAAGAGAAGGCGCTGGCTGGGGTGGGGGGTGGAGGTATATGGAGGGAGCCTTAGCCTTTGGGGAGTGCAGCCTTTGTGGCTCCTCTGAAGCCAGTGTTTGTTGGGGGGTCTCCAGAAGACCTTGCCAGGTCATGGGGGAATGCCTGCAGTGAGGGGCCTCTGACCAGCCCAGCCAGTCCTGCAGCGGAATTCTGGAGTCTTGGCCCCATGTGAAGACAGAAATGGTGCTGTTTCGGACTTAGAGCTGTCTGAAGGCCCACATTGTCCTGTCCGGTGCCTAGAAGGATTGCACCCCATCCCTGTTGTGTGCAGCCTTTGGAGGTGGTTGTTCCTCCTGAGAAAGGTACATGGAGTTTAAGAGCGGCGCGGAAGACAGACCTGCTGCTCAGCCTTTGGTGCTGAAGGAAGTCAGGGCTCTAGGAAAACCTTCATTCCACTCTACTGGATCCCCTGACTCCCCGGAGACCAGCAGCTCCTCCATCCCGCTGGGACCAGACCGTGAGAAGAGCTCCTCCCCGCTTCTCCTCCTGGGGAGGAGAAGTCTCAGAGCCA